CAAAACAACTCAAGTTCAATTTCCTTGAATGGCACTCTAATCTTTGAAAAATCTCACTGGGTCTGTTTTGAATTACATACTTTAGAGAGCAAAACTCCCACTACTAACATAAGATTTTTTGTAACATAATAAGTAAATTTGTATGTAAATCAGATTTCTATAAAATTAATCATACATTCATCCAATAAATATATCTTGGGCATTTACTTCATAAAGCTCTGCCGGGAGCATGCAAGACATAATTGTTTCCACTGGGAAGGGGACTAGAGGAAGAGTGCTGTGAGCACATCACAGACAGTCACTCAGCCCAGGAGCAGGAAGCCCCGGAGGGGTTTCTAAGGGGACATCTAATTCAAGCCTAGAAAGAGAAACAGGAGTCGGTCAGACCGACAGAACAAGCAATACCAGCATGCAGGAAGTGAGAGGCAAGGTTAAGGAACCACAGGAAGTCCAGGGTGAACATTAAGTGAGAGTGTACGTGAAGACAACACCTGGAGGGATGGGGAGCAGGGCCTTGGGAGCACAAGGCAAGCCTGGAACTCAAATGGACAGTAGCAGGGGAAGAGAAGGGTTTCTGACAGCAGGATGACTCAGGATGACTCGGCAGCTCTATGTGGAGGACCTGGGGGAGGGAAAGACAGTAGGGAGAACACTGTGGAGGTCAGCATCAAAATGCAGGCCAAAGAAAACCAGGGTGGGGCCTCAACAGCAAAGGCAGCCCTGAAAGATGAGATGGCCAAGAAAGGTACAGGAGGCAGAATCCTATTTTGGTTTTCATTGATTTAGAATGTATCTTCAATTACACTGCATTAGAATTACTAATCAGTGTTCAACCGCCTGAGGAGCAAACCATATATGTAAGTTTTCCCAAACTTGAAAGGTTTAGTGATCTGTAAGGGCTCAATAGACACAATGGCCGGTCAGTGAACTGCCACACCAACAAAGATCTAGGAAACACTGTAGCTTGCTGCAGAATGTGTTTCTGGATTGATTCAGAGTTTTCTTCATTTTGGAAAGGTAAGGTGGTGAATATACTTTTTATCACATAATATGCTCAGTAGCAATTGGAACATCACTTCACATATTAGTAGGGGTTAGGGGCATAGTTCAGCTGGTAAAATATTTGCCTTGCAAGTTCAAAGATTTTAGCTCAATTCCTAGAAACCACATAAAAAAGCATGGGTGTGAGGGTCTGGAGAGATGCTTCAACAGATAAGAACACTGGCTGCTCTAGCAGAGGACCCGGGTTCAGGTCCCAGCACCCACATAGTGGCTAACAAAGTCTGTAACTCTATTTCCAGGAGATTCTATGCCCTCTTCTGGCCTCTGCAAACACAGGTGCACTTACATACATGTAGGTAAAACACTCATACACATAAAAAAATAAATGAATCCAAAAGAATTTTTTAATTTATAAAAAAAAAGGGGGGGGGCTAGCAGATGGCTCTGTGGGTAAGTGCACATGCTGCCAAGTCTGACAACCGGAGTTCCATTCCTGGAACCCACAAGGCCAAAAGGAAAGAACCAACTCCTGAACATTGTCCTCTTACCTCCCCATGCCTGTGTGCACACACACAGAATACATAAATAAATATCAATAAAAGAAAATGCTGGGTGTGGTTATACATGCTTGTGATCTCAGCACTGGGGAGGCCAAAACAGGAGGATCCCTGGGACCAACTGGTGAGCCAGCTTAGCCTAATTGGTTCAGGTCAATAAGACTCTATCAAAGGAGGTGGACAGTGCTCCTGAGGAAGATGCCTGATGTTGTCGTCTAGCCTCCCCACACACAACCATACATGTACACCACATCACATGCACACTCACACATAAATTTCTTTTTTTTGAAAGAGGGGTTGACAAGATGTCTCCATCAGTAAAATGTTTTCTGTGCAATTATGAATACCTGAGTTTGGATCCTCAGAAGCCAAGTGAAAAGATAGGCACCGGGGTGCACACCTGTAACTCCTGCACTGAGGACACAGGAGGATCCCTGGAGCTCAATGACTAGCCAGCACAGCCAAATCAGTGAGCTCTAGGTTCCATGAGAAACCCTGTCTCAAAAAATAAAGTTGGGGCTGGAGAGATGGCTCAGCAGTTAAGAGCACTGGCTGCTCTTGCAGAGGACCCAGATTTGATTCCCAAAACCCACATGGCAGCTAACAACTGTTCATAACTCCAGTTCCAGAGGATCTGACACCCTCTTCTGACCTCCTCGAGCATCACATGACATGGGTGCACTAACACACATGCAGGCAATACACTCATACACACAGGACAGCTGGGGCGACAGGGTCTCCCTGTCGCCCCAGCTGGCCTGGAACTCGCTATGTAGACCAAGCTGGCCTTGAACTCACAGTGATCTACCTGCCTCTCCCTCCAGGGTGCTAGGATGGAAGGTGTGCACCACCACACCCAGCTATAAATAAAATATTTTTTAAAAAATAAATAAAGTGGAGTGGGATCAAGGTAGACACCCAAACTTTGGCCTCCATATACATGTATACATACACACATGCGCACACCCACACAAACATGTACATTCACCACAGACACACAAGAAGGTCCAGTGGCCTGGGTATGGTGATGCGTGCCTGCAACCCCAGCCCTCAGGAGGCTGAGACAACAGGATCCTTGAGCAGCAGGCCGGCCTGAGTTACAGAACAAGACTATCTCAAAACACCAAAACAAAATGAAGCTATGTGGGGCCAGGGAGAAACTCCAACTCATATGAGACCAAGGCAAACAGACTGTTTATTTCAGATCAGAAATAAAGGGAGGAATGTCACCAAAAACTGCCAATAGAGTTCAAGACAGACAACAGTTCCTCCCTGTCTTATCATTTTCTTTTCCATGAGCCTGTCTCTCTCCATTCAAGGTAACACGAGGCTTGTTGTAGGAGCTGAATTGGGAACAAAAATTGTTTCTAGGATACACTTTTTGAATTTAGGGACTTAATCATCTAAGAAACTAAACAAGGCCCCCAATGAACTTTAGAGTTCTGTAAGTGACACTATATGCCACCATCCAAAAGGATGAACCAGAGGTCAGGGATATAGCTCAGAGGGAAAGCATGCGCTTAGCATGCCCAAGGCCCTGGGTTCAATTCCTGACACCAAAAGAAAAGAACAAAGTATATCAGTGTGCACTGGCATGCAAGGATGTCAGAGTTTGTTTTTTCAGACAGGGTCCCACTGTGTAGCCCTGGTTGACTGGAACTCACTATGCAGACCAGACTGGCCTCAAACTCACAGAGATCCACTTGCCTCTCCTCTGCCTTCTGAGTGCTGGAATTAAAGGATTGTACCAGCTTGGCTGGCTAGGATGAATTTTTTAAAGAAAAAAAGAAAAGCACGCTGAAGACTCAGGTAAAGAGAAACGTGTCATTTTTGTAAAATAAACTATAGAGCTGAGGATGTGGCTCAGTGGTAGAGCACTTGCCTAGCATGCGTAAGGTTCTAAATTCAGTACTTGGGGGGGAAAAGTACAGATTTAACACCAGGAAAAAAATGTGTGTCTGTCTGTCTGTCCGTCTGTGTGCATGCACCACAGTGTGCATGTGGAGGTCAGAGGACAATTTCCAGGAATTGATTCTCTCCCTCCATCTCATGGGTTCCAGGGATCAAACAGGTCATCAGGCTTAGTGGCAAGCACCCTCAACTCCATGAGCCATCTCACCAGCCCAGAATGTGCAGTTTTTAATTGACTCTTAATAATTATGCACATTCATGGAGTTCAGTGTGATATTTCAACAGATACATACAATGCATATTGAACAAATCACAGTAACTGGCAAATCTATCATTCACCAAATATTTATCATCTGTTTTACATTAGGAACATTCAAAATCCTCTCTTCTAACTAATGTGAAGTAGATAATCATTCCTTACAGTCATCCCACTATGTTATAGTACACCAAAACTGAATCCTCTTACCTGATTAGACTACTCAGTAAGTAACGAATCTACCCATTAGCCTGCTCTCCTCGACCTCTCCTTGACGGCTCTTGCCAGTCCCTGCTAATCTGGTGACCACTAGCCTCTTCTCTCTTCCTGTAAGATAAACTCTTCCAGCTTCCACACATGAGTGAGAACATGCTGTATTTTCTTACATCAACCATGCATTACTAACTTAAATTTTAAAAATTAAAGCAAGAGCCAGTCAGGGTAGTACACACAACCTTAGTCCCAGCACTTGGGAAGTTGGGATTAATCTGCGTTCATGGGCAGCCAAGGCTACAAAGACCTTGTCTTAGAAAATAAACAAACAGGGGCTGGAGAGATAGCTCAGTGATTAAGAGCACTGACTACTCTTGCAGAGGACCCGGGTTTGATTCCCAGCACCTACACGGCAGTTACAAATCATCCTTAACTCCAGTTCCAGAGGAATCCGAAGCCCTCTTCTGACCTCCACGGCACTGCACAACACAGGTACACTCACATACATGCAGACAATACACTCATACACATAAAATAATAAAAATGAAATAATTTTAATTAAAAAAGTAAATAAGCTGGGAGTGGTGGCTTGAACCTTTAATCCCAGTAGAGGAGGCAGAGGCAGTCTGATCACTGTGAGATCAAGGCCAGCTTGGTCTACATAGTGAGTTCCAGCCCAGCTAGGGCTATAGGGAGACCCTGTCTCAAAAAACCTAAAGAAAGAAAGAAAGAGAGTGTAGGGGGAGGGAGACGGAAGGAAGGATGGGAGGGAAAAAGGGAGGGAGGGAGGGAGTCTATTAAACAAAAAGCCATTTCCAAAATAAAAATTTTTCATTACTGCCTTTTTAGCCAGAGTACCCAATAGTCAGTGAGCCATTTTTTAAACAGGCTGGCTCATAATCTTTAGTATTACAAGGAATAGGAAAACATCGGAAGTCAGAAAAGTGACTCAACGAACAAGAGGTGTCACGGACCATGTCAGCAAGAACCACATTCAATTCCGTGATATCTAAGTATCAGAGAGCTTGGCTCGTTCCATGGGAATGGATGTGAAGACTCACCAGGTAAAGGTTATTTTTGTCCTGAAAGGCATACTGTAATTGGGGGATCCAAGGGCTTGTGCTCCGAGATAATATGTTCCGCTCTTCCTCAAAAAATGAAACCTGGAGGGAAAAGAAACACTTTAGATGACTGTAATAGAATTAAATGTGAAAGGAAGGTGTCCTTTGTCCTGCCTTTCGGTCTAAATTGATATTTCCAGTTTAAAAAAGCATCCCTTAGTATGACACCTCACAAATCTGTTACTAGCCTAATTTTTTCATAGTTTTGCCAGACTCATGCGTTACCTGTCTACTTATGTACGGAACATCTCCCTTTAATGTCAATTCACTTCTTGAGTTTAAATATCTTCCTCTTCCTCTTCACCTTCCATTCCTGAATGGTTTGGTCTGAACACCATTAAGTTCAGTAAAATAAAGTAAGCATCCAGGCCAGGTTGAGAGACAGAACCATGTGCCCAGAAAGGGTGTCAAGCCCAAGCAGAATGAAGACAGTGGCAAACAGGCATGGGGGCAGCCAGGTGTAGGGTATCAGGGCTCATGCAGATATCCACACATAGTGGGGGCATGGAGCAGATTAGGGGACAAGGGATAGCCACAAAGACCATAGGTAAGATGTGCACAGATACAAGCAAGAAATAGTAAGAGTATGTCAAGAGGATGTTATTGCTATTGTTTGGATTAAGTGTTCCCCCAAAAGGCCCATGAGCAAAGGGCTTGGTCCTCAGCCCACGGCACTATTGAAGGTGGTGGAACCATTAAGAAGTGGAGCCTCATGGGAGGTCACCCAGTCACTGGGGGCTCCCCTTGTATTAAGTTACTTTTCTCTTACTGTGATAAAACCACCGTGACCAAAAGCAACTCAAAGAAAAGGTTTATTTGGGCTTATGGTTCCAGAGGAATAGAGTCCATCAGAGTAGGGAAGCCATGGCATGGCAGCAGGAACAGGAAGCTGAGAGAGCACATCTCAATGGAACACAGGAAGCAAAGTGAGAGAGCAGGAAGTAGGGCAAGGCTATGAACCCTCAAGGCCCACCCCCAGTGATATCTCCACCTCCTAGAGGTTCCATAACCTTCCTAAACACTGCCAGTAATTGAGGCACCAGGTGTTCAGTTACATGAGCCTGTGGGAACATTTTTCATACTAACTACCAGACCCTTAAAAGGGATCTTGGAAGCCCCTTCACCTTTCCATATTCCACGTTAGTCATGAGGTAAAGTTCTGACATACACTTTTGCCGGATGTACTTCTTCACCACTGTGCAAAAGCAATGGGGCAGCCAACCCTGAACTGAAAACTCTAACTGTGAACCGAAACAAATCTTTTCTCTTTATAAGTTGACTAACTCACCTATTTGTCACAGTAAGTGGAAAGATGGCTCACAAGCTACAAACACAGAAAAGAGGAAAGCTAAAGTGAAGCCTATAAAATTGGACTGAAATTAGAGGTAATGCTGTGAACCTCTGGTTTGCAATACAGACATATAGAAATAAATAAAGAAGCAAATACAGGCATGTCTATGCACATGTCTGTATGTTTATGTGTGCACAGGTACATATATGTGGTAATGTACAGGTAGGTATATTGCACACATACATATGTATTCCTTAGCACTATCCATGAAAGGGGCCTAAGAGCAGTGCATTCCGTAGTAGCACAAATACTCAGGTTTCAGATCTTGACTGCTAGGATTTTTTTAATTTTGATTTATATGTACATGTGTATGTCCATGTGTATGTATCGCAGGTGCCCACAGGAAATCAGGCAAGTACACTGAATCCCATGGAGCTAGAACCAAAGTCGGGTTCTCTGCAAGAACAGTATGTACTCTTAACTACTGAGTCATCTCTCCAATCCCAAGATCTTGGCCTCTAAAGACGACTTTCTACTAAATAAGTTTCCTTGGGGACATGGCTGACGCTAAGACTGAGGCAGAGAAAGTAACTACGCAGGAAAAACCTGAACATCTTGCTGTACCAGAAAATAAGAATGTACTCAAGAATGACAGAGATCTGTCAAAAGGAGACAAAAGCCAACTTGAAGAGAGAACTTGAAAACACTTAGAGTATAAAAAGAAACAGTAGTAACAGATTGCAACTCATTGACTAAAATAAGAAAATGGAGTTCACATGGATACAAACAAATGAACACACTGGAAGTTGTGCTAGGTATGGAGCAGTTCCAGCCTTTGAAAGTTCTTCCCTAAGAAATCCTAAAGTCAAAAGAGAGAGGCGCAACCCCACAGTGGAGACATGGCAGACACCACCTTGTCTAGCCAGCTACGCAAGCACAGTCCGGAGTGTCACCCATTGGAACTGAGTCTCCTGTTAGCAGAAATTGGAACACAGCCTCTTTGTTTATATTTCTGCCAAAAAAATCTACAACCTGGATTTAAGCATAAGCAAATCAGCTAAGTCTAAATCTTACAAAACAGCTGGCCTATTGTCAGAACTGTCAAGCCATTAGGACTTGGAAAATTAAGGAACTGACTCAGATCAGAGGCCAGAGACAGAAAACTAAATGTCTGAATTCTTTTATTTCTAAAGATGTCACTGGGACAATTGGTGACACGTGAATGGGGTTGGAGGGCTACAAGGCAGGAACATACTGGTGCTAATTTCCTGGCTGCATTTTGGATCATGGGAAAATATTCCTGCTGTAGGAAACATATACTAAAGTATGCAGATGCATTTTCAAGTGGTTCAGGAGAGGGAAGAAAAGATGTATTTTCCAATAAGTAATTTTACACATTAACCTGAAGGCCAATTTTTCCATCAAACACTAGCCCGGGTGCTGCTATGAAGGTATTAAGTAGCTGAAGAAGACATCTGCCATCAGCAGCTTTAGACTATGCTCAGTAATCTGGGTGGGCCTCATCCAATCAGTTGAAAGGCCTTAAAAACAAAACTGTAGAGCTGGAGGTATATCTCAGTAGCAGAGCATTTGCCTGCCTAGCATGCTCCAGGCCCTAGCTTCAATACCTAGAACTACCAAGACAAATTTTAAAATGGAAAAAAAGAGAGAGAGAGCCAAATGCAGTTTCCCTAAGGAAGAGAAGAAAGTCTGTTTCAAGACTACACTGTGGGGTAAAACCCTTGCTTCACAGGCATGAGAAGCTGAGTTCAGATCCCAGCGCCAAAGTAAAAATCAGCTGGGCACAGCCACGTGCACCTGTAACTCCAGTGCTGTGGGGCTCACTAGAGCTTGCTGGCTGCCAGCTTAGCTCCAGGTTCAGTAGAAACCCCATCTCAAGGGAAAAAGGCAGAGAGTGACGGAACAGAATACCCATCATCCTCCTCTGGCTTCTGTGTGCACGCCTCTACCTCCTGAGTGCTAGGATTACAGGTATGTGCTACCACACGCAATTCATGTGGTGCTAGGGACTGAACCCAGGACTGCACTCTACCCAATGAGCTATACCCCCAGCATAAAATGTTTTTAAATAGTTTGTCCATGCAGCACTTAAAATCACCTTGCACAACCCAGTGCTAAGTCTAAGCTATGTGGGAAACAGCAGTCCAACCCCAATAATTTAACTTATTTTTTTCTTTTTTTTTAGTTTTATGTGTATAAATGTTCTGCCTGCATGTATGTAAGTACATCTGTATCATGCAACGCCCACAGAGGCCAGAAGAGGGTGTCAGATCCCCTGGACCTAGAGTTGCACATGATTGTTAGCCACCACATGGGTGCTGAGAACCAAACCTGGGTCCTCTACCAAGAGCAGTGCTCTTAACTGCTGGACCATCTCTCCAGCCCCCAAACCCAATAGTTTACAGTGCTATAGAACTGAACCTTCTCGCTGACACATGAAAGATGTTCAGGCAAAGCTAGTTGATCTGAACAGTCTCCACCTTCACTTGCTCATCACTGACTCTGCCTGACCCCTGAAGATTCCATCATTGTAACTGGTCTCTGAGGACTATTTCTAGTTGTCACAGCACTCTGGGCAAGTGTGCTGGCCGGATGATGGCTTTATTTGTGGGGCACCACTCCACCTTCATGTCCATGCTGACATTTCCTTTCAGTCTATTCCTGTGCTGACTTTTCTCTTCGCGTGTCTTTAAATTCCAAATCCTCACTGTGATTCCATTAGGGACCCTACATTTCTTTTATATTTACCCACTGAAGGAACAGTAGATGGTTTTTATTAGCTCTTGTATAAATATGATTTTTAAAAACCCAGGCCCATACCTCGCACGTGGTCACTTCAGGTCTTTTGCCTGGAGGAAAATGTATCTGTCTGGATATCTCAATTGCCTGCCTGCTGTGTGACCTGTTGGATTAGTTCCATCTTACATGCACTATTTCCCATCTAAAACATCAGCACTCAAGGTCGGGCTACACCTAATGCCTCTACCTAAGGACCTAGAAAGATGCTAAGCACCAAGAGCACTCAGTGAGTGAGGACAGATGATAGAAAGCTCTTAAATGGAGGAGGCTGAGAGCACATCTTCCACTCCTGTCTTCCAAATTATGTGCAGTCTCTTGTTTTTCCTTCCTATGATGTTGCTCATACTTTATTCTGAAACGCAGAAACCACATCATGCTTCAGTTTCGCACCTCCACTGCCAGACCATGACCTTAATCTCTTCCTAATAAACGCCTAAATGATCCCAAACCACCTACATGATCCCCAACCACCTCACAAAGTAAACTGAAACTCGACACCTGGTTTTTGAGCATTTCTGTTTGGGATTATTATGACTAGGACTCAAAATGTGCCCCCAAAAGTTCATGTGTTGAAAGCTTGGTCTGCAATCCAGCAGTGGCAGAGGTGGAAGCCCTCGGGAAATGACTGGCTCATGGGGGCTCTGACCTCATCAATGATTGAAGGATTCATAGCTTAATGGGCTATTGGGAAACGGTGGAAATTCTAAGAGGTACAGCCTAGCTGGGGGAAGCATGTCACTGGTTCCATGCCCTTGAAAGGAATATTTGTCCCCAGACTATCTCCTCCCTTCCTCTCTCCTTCCCTCTCCCTCTCCTCCTTTGTCTGCTTCCTGGCCACCATGAGATAAGCAGCTTGCATCACCACACATCTCCATCATGGCATTCTGCAGCTGACCACAGAGTAAAATCCCTGGAACCATGAACCAAAATAAACTATTTCTCCTCCACTTTTTATAAGTGTTGGTTTCTCTTGGGTACTTTTTCATAGGGATGGAAGCTAACTAACACAGGAATGATGAGAAGTTCTAGGAATGGATGGTGGTGATGGCTGTACAGCATGGGGGAAGCCTCTAAATGCCATGAGTCATACACTAAAGATGGTTAACAGGGTAAATTTTACGTTACATATACAGCTGACTACAATGAAAAAGATAAAGTTCTTGAGATTTTCCCTCAAATGCCCCTTGCCCACCCAAATGTCCTCATTTCATCCCATTTCTGATTGTTCTAAACCATGAAACCTCTCTCTCTCCCCCCCATACACACACACACACACACACACACACACACACACACACACACACATACACACCCCTGTGTTGCATCTCAGTACTCACACCTCCAGGATATCACCCACAGCCACACATCTACCTAGCAAGTTCCTATCACTCCTCTGCCCAGACCCTCTACTCCATCTCATCATAAGTACGTTCCTGACTGTCCCTGGCTCACCCAGGACATCACACCTCACATCATTGCTAATGAATTTGCTAATTGTTCTCCCCCTCTGTGGTGTGTTAGCTGATAAGCACCTGCTTTATAGATCTGCATTTCTCCTCTATTTCTGGAGGTTGTCATTAAACCCTGAAAGTAACAGCCATAGAACTTCAATTCCTTCCGTAGGCTTCCCACAGAGCTGGGCACATTATTGGACACGTGATGTGCACTAGAATGTCTGTAACTAATAAATTACTCTCTGAACTCCAAGGCTGACAGTGATCTCTCAAAAACACAGTCAATGAATCAATATGTCTGGAGACAGCGGTCTTTTCTTCAAAGAAAGAAGAGTACCGCAAGAGAAAAGACAACTTCTTAACCTGTTCTCAGACAAGCAAGTCCCCAGCCAGGCAACATAATTTTAACTTCATTAAAGGCCTGTTTTAAAATCAAACACAAGTGCCTACAACAGGAATATTTAACACTTGTACAAAAGCAGATGCTTTCTGATTTACCCTATAATATGCATGTCCTGAGTCCCCAGCTGATGGTCATGAGAGATCATCTTCAGTTCAGTAATTAAAAGCTCAACATGGTTGTAAAATAAAATGCAACTATAAAGTCATGACAAAGAAATCAATGGAGCTTCAAAATTAATCAACGTCAGTTGGAGAAAAGAACATTAAGAGACCTTTTTGCTCATGTACCCATAATTAACAACTTGCTGGATCCCAGACACCAAGTTAACAGGCTATTGTCTTTGCAATGAATGTTCAGTACAGACAGGAGAACCTGATGTGAAAATGCTCCTACCTGTTCCTGGGCCAACAGAGCCGCCTTCTTCATGATTTTCATGGCATAGACATCCCCCGTTGCTCTCTCTCTGACCACCTGTACTTCAGCAAAGTGACCACAACCCACAAGACTTCGGACTTCAAAGTCTCTTGCTGAAGGCTGGAGCTCCTGTAACTCAGCTATGGTGTCGGAGTCTGCAGAAGATGAAGAGTTACACCAGGTAAAAAAAAACACACTTTAAATGCATGCATCTTTGCAAAAGAGGAAAAAAAGAAAGAAAAAAGTGTTCTGTCTTCCTTCACTGTCAAAAGGCGTTTTAGTCACTTTCTCATCCATCATGAATAATTATAAAATCAGCACAAAAGTGTTTTTATCTGTTAAAATTAAGGGCTCCAGAAATTCCAAAGTACGGTTTCCATGGTAGCTATAATTTGAATCCTGTAGACTTAGAAAACAGGAAGCATACATACACACCATGCTTTTTCTTCTTCCTTCAAGGGCTATAGGGCAGTGTCAGGGTCAAACATGCTTAGCATCGAGGTTGGTTTATAATGTGACATAAGCAACATGATACCTGTTTTCAACCAGCTTTGGAGTTGTTTCCAGATCATTCTGTTCTAGTTACATGTGCTCTGCTCAATTACATCCCCCTAGCACTCGCACTGTATCAGTGAGAACGATGCCTTCCTGGTGGCAGTGCTTAAAAGGATACAGGATTACCCCAAGGGCCAAAGTGGGCCCTGATATTTGCTCTGCAGGGCTGACAGCCACACATCTGGATGAACTTGCAACTCCCTTTTCTTTGATTTATAGACTTATTCCTAGGCTTATTCCTTTTCCGAGTCCAATCTCTCAGGCTAAGATCAATGGACAAAGTCTGTACTAACTGGATGATGGGTTTCGAATCTCACACACATTTACTAACACTGCAAACACACTGAGACATCTCTGGATGAGCAAGAACTCTACTGACTTGGATGCATGGAAGGGACAATAGTGACTGGCCTAAAATGGAACACTGTGCAGAACAGAGGAGCTGCCTCTGAAATAGGGACTATGGCCAAAGAAAAACAAGAGACGTACACAGTCAGAATTATCCTGGGCTGAGGGTGCGGCTCAGTAGTAGAACATGCCTCAGCATACAAGAGGCCCTGGGTTCAATCCCCTACACCAAAAACAAAACGATTAACCTGGAGAATCCCAATAGTCATGTTTGAAAGTATCATGTTAAAAACTAAGAGATTTGGGCCAGGGGAGATGGCTCAGTGGATAACAGCGCTCCTTCTTCAAGCATGGAGACCTGGGTTGGAATCCCCAGCCCAGCACTCACATAAAAAGCCAGGCATGCTGGCACATACCTGCAATCCCAACATTTGGGGGTGGAGACAAGAGCTCACTGGCCAGGCAGCCTAGTCAAAATGGCCAGCTTCTGGTTCGGTGAGAAACCTATCTCAAGGCAAGAAGGCAAACAGTGATAGTAGAAGACACCCAGTGCACTGCTCTGATCTCTGCATGGGTGCACACAGCCTCACACTCAAATATAGTATGCATACACACACAAGCGAGCATGTGCACATGCACACATACACCCGCAAAAAAAAAAGAGTAAGAAAACTAAAAAACTAAAAGACTGTTTTGAAATCCCCCCAGACACCAAAATTAGAATTAGCTAACCTTCCACATCCAGAGATTCGACCAACCAACCACAGATCAAAAGTATTTTGAGGACTGGCAAGATAGTTCAGCAGGTAAAGGTGCTTACCATGCAAGCCTGACAACGTGAAATTCAATCCTCAGATCCTCCAAGGGAAGGAGAGAATCAACTCCTAAATGTTGTCTTATGACCACACATACACTGTGACATGCATGCCTGAGTACGTATACACACACACACACACACACACACACACACACACACACACACACTTAAAACTTTTAAAGACGTTTGGAACACAAAAATATTCCTCAAAGTTTCAAAATGAAAAACTTGAGTTTGCTGCACCCAGAATTCTACACTGAATCCACACAGATATAGTGCTGCTGCAAAGGTACCACATTGAGTATCATGAGCAAGCTAGAGATGGTTTAAAATACAAAAGAGGATGTGGTCATGGGTTCCATGCAAATGCAATACTACTTCACATAAGAGACTTCAACATCTATAGGTTTTCATATAAGCAGGGGGTCCTGGAGCCAGTTCCCCAACGACACTTCATCCTGAGCCACATTCATCTCTACACTTTGCTCTCAAAATGAGAAGAACCAAGAAAAAGGGCATTTCACAGCATAATCATGGAGTGGCATTTTGATGCATCCACCAGTGCTACTGTTCATTGTGATGATCCACCCTCTTTCTCTCTTCTAGGCTGGAATTAATTCTCTTGGCTATAAGGCAGATATGATGAAGTTTACCATACTGGCAGTCTTCTGACCCACCACATTCTTCCTTCAGCCAGTCATGCCAAAGTTACCTTCCTGGGTCTCTCGGCAAACCAGGCAAGAAAGAAGGGAGACTCCACATGGATTCATTGTGAGCACTGCTTTAAAAAGTAGATCTGGGGCCAAAGAGATGGTTCAGTGAGTAAAGGTGCTTGCCGCCAAGCCCAATGACCTGAGTTCAATCCCCAGGACTTACATGAGGGAAAGAGATAACTGACTTCCACAGTTTGTCCTCTGACCTCCACACATGCACCATGTCATGCACGCACGCACGCGCACACACACACACACACATACATACACACACATAGATCTAAAGCACCTACACAGAGAACACGATATGGACACAACCTTGACGACTGCACCATATTTTCATTCAGCTCTGACAATGCTGTTGCCAAGCCCAGTCTTCCTTCTCCATCCCTTTCCAAGTTTCTTTCACATCAAGTACTTGAGAAGTGAATTATAATTTGCCAAATGTGCTGGTTTGCAGCTTTCTGGGTTGAACCTGGTTTCACTGTTGCTTGCACACAAGGCCAATCGCTCTTCATTTTCTTTCAGGCCTTGGCCCTCAAAGTTGCTTACCATGTAGCCCAACTCAATAACTCCAGGTCTGTCACTGGGGATCGCGGGCATCTCAGTCACAAACATCAAAATGCTTTGTGTGCAAAATCATGACACTCCCACAGAATTTAGGGAACATTCCAAATATCTTGTTCCCCAAAGGCTTATGGATTATTACAGTGAGTAGGTGAGATGCTAAAATCAAGCCCAGGCCAATTTTTAAAAGGAGGGGGGGAAAGCCCTTCACAACTTCTCTCCATACCAGCTGCTTCTCTGACCCCCAACACTATATCGAGTCTTCATCTCTGTGAACTTTAGTTACAGTATTTATGAGTCCAGGGGGTACCAAATATTGAGGCAGAGAAAGACCCAAAGCACTGTAATGAAAATGCAGTCCAGGTATGGCTTTGTTAGATAAGCAATTGGACCCAGGAGGCAAAAAGCAAGCCAGCTGAATCTACTACTTCCTCTTCAGAAATTCAGTAATCCAGAATTTCAACTTCTAGGAACTCATCTTTCACCGAGTTCTCACACATGCTCAGAAAACACACTGATGGAGAGGCTCATGATGAGAAGAATTATAACAAAAGCAATCAGAAGCAACAAAACCCTACAAGTTCATCAACAGGAATGTGAGAATCATAACAAAAGCAATCAGAAGCAACCAAACCCTACAAGTCCATCAACAGGAATCTCGGGGCCCACTCACATAAATGACTAGTAAGCACAGGCCAAACAGAAAAGAGAAGCCCAAAGGCCTTTAGAATGCATATTCCCAAGGGCAGATAGAGCTGTCTGCTTCGATTACTACTGGAACCCAGAGCCGAAAATGGAACCTGGCACATAGTTCAGTGCGCCATAAAGTATGCTGAGTAAATATATTGTTAAGTGAGCAAAGCCAGCAGGGAAACAGGCACATGTGATCTGTCTTCATGTAAAACTAAACAGGATTCAGGGCTGGAGAGATGGCTCAGCGGATAAAAGCACTGACTGCTCTTGCTGAGGACCTGGGTTCAATTCCCAGCACCCACATGGTGGCTACGAATCGTCCTTAACTCCAGTTCCAGGGGAATCTGAAACCCCCTTCTGACCTCCGTAGCATCGCACGACACAGGTGCACTCACATACATGCAGGCAATACACTCAAACATAAAATAAAACAAAAAAATAAAAAGTATTAAAAAAAAAACTAAACAGGAGTTATGGCAGAACACGTGTGGAACGGGTTAACAAACGCTGCCACCAGCTGATTAGCACATCGGGATCGACTAAACATGTCGCTTTACAAATTTCCATAGTATTTTTTAATTCTATTACATTTACATTTATTTATTTGGGGGCAGGGGGCTCATGTTCCATAACATGCATGTGGAGACTAGAAGACAACTTACAAGAGTCAATTCTATTTCACCAGGTGGGTCCTAGAGTTCAAACTCAAGTCCTCAGCCTTAGCAGCAAGTACCTTTAATCACTGAGCCATCACACATCACACCCCATTTTCAATATTTTAAAACACACACACACATAACACAAAGATATAATACTATGCACCAAACTGTTGACAGTGGTTATACACGTAAAGACCCTGAAGGATTTTCTCTGGCATATATACATACATGTGTGTAGGTAGGTAGGTAGGTAGGTAGGTAGGTAGATAGATAGATAGGTTTACATAAAGATATAAATATATTATCTATATAGAGAGATCATATGCTGTGGTCTGAATGTTTATGACCCCTGCCCAAAATCTGAAATTCCATCCCCAGTGTGACTGCAGAGGTGGAACCCTGGAGGAAGTGACTGAGGCATGAGGATTGCACCGTCATTAACGAGATTAGGAGGCTGAGGGGAATACACCTGCTCCTTTGCCATGTGAGGACAGGGCAAGAAGGTTCCAACTCTGTAGCACAGAGAGGATTCTCACCTGATACCAGACCTGCTGGTGCCTTGGTCTTAGATGTCCCAGCCCCCAGCACCACATTACATTTCTATTGCTTATAAATTACCCACTTTGAGGTATTTGTTACAGCAGTGCAAGGGACTAAGGCATGGTGCTTAACCTTTTAAATTTAACCTTGTCTTACGTTTGCAACTAGAAGAAAAAATTCCCCAAAGTCATCGTTTGCCCATAAATATCAAGGCTGTGAATGCACAGGTTTTTCCTTGTTGTGGTTTAAATGTGAAATGTCCC